AAAAAAAAAAAAATTTATATTCGACTATTTACTAGATGTTTTTTATTTAAAAGTTAAAAGAATTTAAAAATTACCACACTTTTACCTCACAAAACACCAAAATGTTAAAAACTTATTTTTTATTAAAATAAAAATACACCCCACTTAACACCTTTCTCTCCTTTCTTTTGTAAATTTTTATTTTTTTATAATTTCTTTGAAGCTCTAAAAACACCATCCCTTTTCACACACACACACACAACCACACTAATATTTGATGACTTCAAATTTTCATTTTAAAAATAGAACACCTATTATACAATTGCTTTTTTTTTTTCTTTTTTTTTTTTTAAAAATTTTTATTGTTCAAAAATAACCTCAGTAATCATCAACACATTTATTAAATATTATAAAATTTTTAAATATAGAAATTAGTGTTATTATTGCCAAATATAATTTTTTTTTAACCACTAAATTTTTTTTTTATTATTTTTGGTTCGTTGTCCAAGTTTTTTTCTATTAAATTAATACAAATATTGAAAAGATGAAAATATTAATAGTATTAATAAGAGAAGAAAATGGGAGCAGATAAGGATCACTTAAACCAGTGTTAAAATAAGTTGGACCCACAATGATAGCCAGAGTAACAGGGCTATTAATTGATGGTATTTATAATATAATCATTAAACTAGTAGATGGTAATTATTTTTTTAATTTTTAATAATTTTATTTTTTAGAATGATACTGACAATGAAGATGAAGATGAATATGAATATGAATATGAATATGAATATGAATATGAATATGAATATGAATATGAATATGAATATGAATATGAATATGAATATGAATATGAATATGATGAAGATACCTAATATAGTTATGAAAAATCTCTTGTTGATGAAGAATATCAAATTTCTAAAAAAAGGAAATACTATTAACAAAAAAATTCTTTTTTTTTTTTTCTCTTAAAAAGTAAATTTATTCATCTAATAAATAAAAAAGATATATTATTTTTTAAATTATTATTTATTGATAGTTAGATGACTTTCAGATAACCGTTTTTTTTAAATTATAAAAAAAATTAAAAATAAAAAAAAAAAAAAAAATTTTGATCAAAAATAAAAAAAAACAATCAAAAAAAAAAAACACATTATTTTTAATTTACATTATTGAAATATAAAAATGGGTGCAGGTAAATAGAGTTTTAAATATATAAACAATAAAATATAAATTTATAAAAAATATAAATTAAAACCAACACAATTTTTTTTTTTATGAAATTTGTGTTTTATTTTTATTTTTAGCAAATGGCAAAGTTTCAAAAGAAGATATTAAAGAATTATTGAAAAAAACAAATTATTCAAAAAGTGAAATCGATAAATTAAAGGGTGATTATAAAAAAGGAGATACCGATGGTAAACCAGGTTTAAGTTTTGAAGAGTTTAAAATTTTCTTTTCAAAAAGATTTAAAGATTATGATGATGCCTCACTCCTTAAAATGTTTTGTTTATTTGATGTCGACTCTGTATGTAATATTTATTTAATTTATTTAAATAACAGCTGTTATTTAAACATATTAACTTTTTTATTTTTTTACTTTAATTACAGAATGGTGTTTTAGATTTTCTCGAATTTATTGGTGCATTATATTTAATGACCAAAGCATCTGTTGAAGATAAGTTATCTTTTCTCTTTGATTTATTTGATCAAGATGATAATGGTTACATTAATTTAGATGAATCAATTAAACTATGTAATGTTGTTACTGCATGTGGTGTTAGTTTTGGAAAGTAATCAGAAAAAAAAAAAAAAAAAACAAAGAAAAACATACTCATCTTCTTTTTTTTTTTTTTTTAGGTATGAGTGTTTCAGAATCAATTAATTTTGCATCTACTGTTATGACTTATAGTAATATGAAAAACCCAAGTTTAGGTTTTACCAAAGAAGAATTTATTTCAACATGTAATAAATCTGAAAATTTCTTAAAAATTATTTCTTTTGATTATCAATCATAAGAAAAAACAAAATTAGATATCAATTAATAATAATAGAAAATTAAAATTAATAAAAATTGTATAATTATAGTCAAAAAAAATAAAATAAATAGTTTGTAAATAGAAAATAATTGTGTGTATTTTTTTTTTATTTTTTAAAATATTAAAATATTTTTTATTTTTTTATTTTAAGTTTTTTAAAAACTTTTTTTTTATTTCAGTTTTTTTTTTTAAAAAATAATTAATTATAATTAAAAAGATAAAATGGAAGAGATTATTATTTTAGTAATTAAAATTTTAGTTATAATTACAGTAGTAAAATATATAATTGCATACTTTTTATTAAAAAGTTTAAAAGAAGATAAAACAAATAAAATAAAATAAAATTAAATAAAGATATAATAATAATAATAAATTATAAATAATAACAGCACCAATCCAATTGTTGACAAAAATAATAAAAGACAATTATAATAATTAAGTTTATTATAATTTAAACTTCTTCCAATTCTCTCTAAATAAAATAAAATAAAATAATAAATAAAGTAAAATAAATAAAGTTTTATTTTTTTTTTAAATTTTAGTTTTAATAATTATAAATTGTATTGTTTGCATCATCGTTATAAAAATTATTTTCCCTTAATCTTTTTAATTTCTTTTTTAGTTCATTTTCGATATATTTCTTTCTGTAGAATAAAATACCTATAGCAACACCTATTGATAAAATTATAAAAGATACCACTATAATAATTGCAATTAAATAAAGTTTATGTTCAGCATCTGGATCGCTATGAATACAATCTGAGGATATTTTTAAAATTGAATCCATTAGCATTGAGAAATCTATAAATAAAAAAAGAAATTAATTATTTAATTATATTTATAAAGTTATAGCTATTGTTTTAAAAACGTACCAGGATCCACAATACAATTATTAATACAATGTGGTAAATTTAATTTAACTGTTATAAAGTCATAGTCAGTATTTGGGTTTTTTGAAGTATTATTACTATATGAATTGGTTTGAATTGATGTTGATATCCAGGTTGTTCTACCATCAGCGATGATTTTATTTAAAAATCTACCATAGAGTTTAACATTTTCTTTTAGAATTAAGAAATAGTTAAATTGGTCATTTTGGAAACTGGTTACATTGTTACCGCTTTTGTAGCATCTTTGTTTAAGTTGACCAGATTTATATTTAAAATTGTTATTTGTAGTCTCCATTGTTGAATTCATATAGAGTTGTAAAGTATTTAAAGAGTTTGAAAATTGATAGTTGTTTATAGAGAGTGATACTTTGACTGAATTTGATTCTAATGGGAATAAAATATTAACAAAACTTTCAATTCTACTGGAGGAGATTTCTTCGATGGTCATGTAGATTGTTGAGGTATACCATCTGGTTGATTGCAATGTTTGGGAAAAGTTAAATATTCTACCATTCATAGAGTTAAAATCTGTGTATTTAATTGAGTTTAATACCCAATTATTAAATAGAGGGTAGATTGATATGGGATTATTGTTAATATCAACCTCTATTAAATTGGTTATAAAAACTTGATAATCTGAATATAGTTTATTTGGATCTTGATTTATATTGAAGGTTGTGGTGCCATTATTTGAAATTACTGTATCGATAATTGGGGGTGCTGTATTCCCGTTATTACTATTTTTAGAATCAAAAGTTCCACAATCAAATCCTATCCAATTGTTATAGCATTGACATATACCTTCAACACATTTGCCTTGATTAGAGTTTGTACAGTTACTTGGGCATTCTTTGATTGATCTTTCGAAATAATACTGGCCAATACCTATCCATGTAAAATTATTTTGGGTTACAGTTGCATTTCCATATATACCCTCTGGTAGTGTTTCATTTGTACTATTAATGGTACAGCTAAGAGTTGTACTATTGATATTAATATTTGTACAAGACCCAATTGGTGATATTGTAACCGATACATTATTGTGATAGTCATCGCCAAACCAACCAATGAAATATGCAATATTATTGGTAAGATTGGATGCCGGTTCTATTGTAGTTACAAAGTGATATGGGTATTGACAGTTGTTACCAAACCATTTAACTGGATTATGGCAATTACAAATACCGGTAGTATTATCGCATCTACCATTGGTATCACACTCTTTATCACATAAAATCAAAGGAACACTACAAGAGATCGATTGCCAACCATCGGAACATTTGCATTCACCAGTAGTATTTAAACACTGACCATTTATACAGCCTTGAATACATGGTTTAAATGGGACATTACAAGAATTTGATTGCCAACCACTAAAACATTTACACTCCCCAGTAGTATTAACACATTGTCCATGGACACAATTGTTACAGCCAATAAAAGGAACATCACAGGAACCTGATTGCCAACCTCCAAAGCATTTACATTTACCTGTAATATAATCGCAGTCTCCATTTACACAGTTTGGGCATTGTTTGGGTGCAACACAACTTGAACCAAGATATCCCTTGTCACATACGCATTGACCTTGGCTATTTAGATCACATACACCATGGTTATTACATTTATCATTCGAACATACTTGACCATTTGTTGGGTTAACTTGGAAACTTGATGACTGTTTATCAACTGATATTTTAATATTATAGCTTTTATTTTCATCAAATGTTATATTTGGACAACTTGAGATTGTAATTGAATAAAATGAAGATTGTTTAATTGTACAATTACTAACACCAACAATTTCTAAATGAATTAAATTATAGTCATAGCCAAAATAGGAACCATGGAATGTTTTATCTTGAATTGAATAGTAATCTAATTTAGGTGGAGCATCATAGTTTGCAATGGTATATGTCTTTTTAGAGCTTGGAAATGTAATATTAAAAACTTGAGGTAAACCGCAATTGCTACAGGAGAACAAAGTACCTACTCTTTCCATTACCCAGTTATATGATGGATCAGTATAGAATGAGTTGTCATGAAAACCTAAATATCCACCTGCTATATATGTTTTATTATCACTTGAACTTATATCAATTTTTGGGAAATTAATGTTTAAACCTTTATTTTGAAAAATTAGTATAATTATTTAAAGCAATAATAATTTTATAATTAAATAAGTACTTACAAGCTTCATCAACTATTGTAGATGTGCCCATAAACCACGAACCGACCATTGTATCATTGATAAAAAAGCTATAGCAACATGGAATATAACCACCTATATTTTTATTATTTGAGAAATTTGATTTTGACATGCACCATGAAGAAGAAATGTTTCCAGAAAGATTATTATTTGATATATCACTAATTTGAAAAAAAATATTAATAAACTACATTTTATTTTTTTTATCTTTATTTTAAACTTACATATCTCTTAAACCAAAACCGGGTACCATATTGGGAAGAGAACCTTTTAAGTTATTATTATTTAAATATAAAGTCTTCAATGCATAATTAAAAGTACCACTTAAAAACCCATCTTCTAAATTAAAATTTGAAAGCTTTAATACTCTTAATCTTGATAAACATTTTATATCGGATGACTTTATAATATTAATTGAAATTTGTTTTGTTAAATTTATTTCTGTAATATAATTGCCTTCACATGTTAAACCATTGTTTTGACAATAATCAATATCTTTATTGATTTTGTTAAAAGCCAATATTAAAAAATTGTGAATACAATTTTCTAATGATGATAAGTTAGTTATAAATAAAATAATTTTTTATAAAGATTAAATTTAATTACTTACTTTCGTTCAATTGACTATAATTGTTATTGCTTTGGCTACTTACATTTAAAATTTTACAAAGAAAATATATGATTAACAATAGATATATATATTTCATATTTTATAGTATTATTACAAAAGTTATTTATGATTAGTTTTTTTTTTTTTTTTTTTTTTTAACCCTTTATATTATTTTTAAAAAATCCTTTAAAATAAAATAAATTTTTTTTTTAACTTTAAAACTTTTAAACCGTTAAAACCCTCCATGATTTGATATTTTTTTTTTGGTTAATTAAAATATTTTAATTTGGTTATTTTTGGGTCGGGTTTTTTTTTTTTAATTTAAAATTTAAAATTTTATTTTTAAATTAAAACTATAAAATGATGTGTTTTCCCTTATTTAACTTATCTTAAGGTCTGTTATTATTAATATTTTTTAAAATTTTTATAAAAAAATAAAAAAATGAAAGCCAAATTTTTTTTTTTATTAAGGGGGAAAAAAAAAAAAAAAAAAAAAAAAAATTGTGGGAATATATGCCAGAAAGAGTATCAAACCTGGGTTAACTTCTACACTCACCCAAATCATTCCTGCTAAAATAAAATATTGTCAATTTATTAAACATGGCAAATATTTACTAATAGATAATGCACCAATTCACGCAGTTCAAGCTGCAGTAGGTGCTCAAGTAATATTTTTACCAACATATAGTCCTGGACTGAACCCAATTAGACGTAGAAATATTTAACTATTAAATATTTAAAACAAATAAATAAATAAAAAAATGAATAAACAAATTAATAAATAAATAAATGAATGAATAAAGTAAATATAAAAATAAAATTAAAATAAAAAAAATTTTAAAAAAATTTAAAAAAATTAAAAAAAATTAAAAAAAGAAAAATAAAATTAAACAATATGAGATAATGTTTTGATGAGATCCTTTTGACTGCCTTTAACTATTGAATTGGTGATCTATTTCCTGTAAAAAAAATATTTTGTTTATACAGGATATAATGACAATGATTGCGATAAGCTTGTTGGCTTTTGTTTAGGATGTGTGATGTTAACCAATTTAGTTACCAGTACGGGTTTATACATCAGGAGTTTTGTAGGTTATTTTCATATCGGTAGCTAAGATCTTTTTATTTTCTTTTGCAGACATTTAAATGTACCTTTTTTTATGACGGTGGCGTTTCAATTAGAATAGTCTCACTCTGCAATTATTATGATACCGTATTGATATACTATTCATATCAATACACTTCTAATGAACAACCACCCCCCAATTATCGGCCAACAACACTTATCGCTTTTGTTAATGATTGAATCGATGTAAAGCTATAACTTTTATGCATTATTATTAAATCCCTCAAAGTATAAATAAAATATTTGTGATTATTAATAATACACATTGAATCTAAATTTTACCATTTTTTTTTATAATTTTAAATTTATGGTATAATTTTGATTGTTTAAAAAATCTTTCATGAAAGAAATTAAATAAATATAAAAGAGAGATAATAGTTAAAAAAAAAAGAAAGAAAAAAGAATTAAAATAAAAGAATTTGTGTAAAAAAAAATATGAGAGATATTTGGGAAATCAAAAAAAAAAAAAAAAAAAATTTATTTTTAAAATGGGGGTAAAGATAAAAAAATTGGTGGTTGTTATCATATAAAAAAATAATATGTAAATTATAAATTGAATAAATAAAACAATATGAAATGAATATATATATATTTCAAATTAATTTTATGTAGAAAATATATATAATAAAAATAAAAAAATAAAAAAAAATAAAAAAAAAAAAAAAAAGATTTTTTTTAAATTTTTTTTTAATTCCAAAATATTTTAAAAAAAAAAAGGACGATTTCCCAGTTAAATATTTTATAATTAAAACTATAATATATGCAAAATTTTTATTAATATCACTATTGTTATTTATACGGCATATATATAAATAATGAGTTCTTCATACTCTAGATTTAATGATGAAGAATATAATGATAATATAAATAATAATCAAGATTACAATAATAATAATAACAATAATAATGGTAATAATAATAATCATGATGATAATATTAATAACGGCATAATAATTAAAAATCAAGAGGATGAAGATCTAGATATAATATATAATGATACCACTGATGAAGATGAGAATAATCATAATAACAATAAAATAAATAGTGATGATGATGAAGGTATACCGTTATCACAAAAAGAATCAAATGCTACTAAAGTTAGAAAACATTTAATTGGATCTGCATGTATTTTATGTGTAGTCTTGTTATGGGTAGGATCTGGTATTGTAACACAGGTATGTATTAAAAAGCACTATCAAAAATATTTTAAAGTATTAATTTATATACATATGCTATATATTAGATCATTTTTACAGATGAAGATTATCAAAAACCTTTCTTTTTAACATATTTAAACAGTTCAATTTTTTCATTCTATTTACTTGGATATATTCCATTCTGGAAGAAATGGACATCAATACCATTTGATGATAAAAGTAAAAATAATATAATAAATCGAGATATTAATAATAGTAACAATAGTATAGATAACAGTGGCAATAATACTATAGATTACTCAAAAGTACCATTAACAACATCGTCAACACCAATAAATACTGATCCCAATAATAACAATACTATAAATACCAATAATAATAATAATAATAAAAAAACAAATTATATTTTTACATTTAAACAGATTTTAAGAATTAGTTTAATATTAAGTCCATTTTGGTTTTTTGCAAACTATACATACAACTTATCATTAGCAAAAACATCAGTTTCAACAAATACTATTCTAAGTACACTATCTGGTATATTTTCATTAATACTTAGTGTTATTTTTAAAGTCGATAAATTCACACTCGAAAAATTATTTGCAACATTAATAACGTAAGTAATATTCATTAAATACAACTCTATTATCATCATTGTATATCTAATTAAAATTTATTTATTATTTTCAATCTATATATAGATTGGGTGGAATTATTTTAGTTAGTTTATCAGATATCGATAAAAGTACAAATGGTAATGATACGGTTATAGGCGATTCTTTAGCTATTGTAGGTGCATTTTTATATGGTCTTTATACAGTATTGGTAAAGAAATTAATAGGATCAGAAGAAAATTTACCAATGCCAATGATGTTTGGATTTTTAGGGCTTTTCGATTTCTTATTTTTATGGCCACTTTTTCTTATATTCAATTTGATTGGATTTGAACATTTCGAATTACCAACAGGAAAAGTTTTCGCCTATTTAATAGTCAATTGTATTTTGGGAAGTTTTGTATCAGATCTTTTAGATTCATATTCAGTAGTGATGACAAGTCCAGTAATCAACTCTATTGGTTTATCTCTATCGATTCCATTTGCAATGATTAGCGATTTTGTTAGAAGTCACAAACAATTCTCTGTAATGTATCTCATGGGTAGCGCTCTGGTAGTGGCAGGTTTCTTATTGATCAATTTAGCAAGTTCAGTATTTGAAAATAAATTGAAATCAATAGAAAATAAAATAATTATTAAATTTAAATCGATTATAAAAAAAGATTAAACAAATTTAATAAAGAAAAAAAAAAACTTTATACTTTATAAAATAAAATATACTATAATATCAAATTAATTTTATTTTTTTAGATTTAATTTTTTTTATTTTTTTATTTTTTATATAGTTTTAATTTAATCTAACTATATTGATTATATACAATTAATTAACTAATTTAAAATTCTGATCTACCTCCTGGTTGTGGTTGGTAAGCTTGTTGTTGTTGTTGGAATGGTGGTGGTTGATAAGCTTGTGGTGGTTGTGAATAGTTTTGTTGTGGGTATGCTGGTTGTTGTGGGTAACCTTGTTGTGGATAGCCTTGTTGTGGGTATGCTGGTTGTTGTGGATAACCTTGTTGTGGGTATGCTGGTTGTGGTGGATAACCAGTTGAGACATTTGAAACAACGTTAACGTTGGTAATAGTGTGGCAATCACGTTCATTTTCTTCTTCGACCATTGATGGAATTAAACAAATATCACTATAAAAAATTTAAAATTAGAATCTATTTTTATTTTATTTTTATTTTAAAATAAAAAATACATACACTAACCAACCAATAAGGAAAATACCACCAGTAAATAAATATAAAACACCACTACATGGACGATTTAAATAAAATCTATGGATACCAAAGACACCTATAAAAAAATAATTTAAAATATATTATTAATAAAAAATTAAAAGGGAAGTGAAATTTATTTAATTAATTATATCTATTATAATAAATGAGGAAACATACCCAAGAAAAACCATAAGAGATAAGTGACAGCTAAATCTTTCATTCTATTTTGTTATAAAAATATTTGAATATAAATATATAAGTTTATGTGAATAATAAATAAAAAAAAAAACAAAAAATATTTTTTTTTTTAAAAAAAAAAGAAAAAAAAAAATTGCTAAAAAAATAAAAAAGAAATTAATAAAAATTATAAAAATCTATTTTTCAGTGCTTTTTTTTTCTTGATTTTTAAGGTGGAATCTGTTTTTTTAAGAGACATGTTTTTTTAGATTACGATTTTTTCTTTTGTTTTTAAAATTAGATTGTTTTTTTTTAATTTTTATTATTATTAATATTAATATTACAAGAAATATTAATAATAATAAAATAAAATAGAATTGAAACCAAAATACACAATCATTATATTTTTCATTAATTTTTATTTTTATTTTTATTTTATTTTTTAATTTAGCATAAAAATCTTGGATATTTTAGTATTTATAATATTTATTATTTTATAATGTGTTGTCTAAAATATATTTAATGTATTGATTTAAGTTTAAGTAAAATTTGAATATGAATGTTGTTTCTTTAAAATTATTGATGTTTAATGGATCAATTGCTTTTATAAAGATGATTAATGTTTTATTTGAAATTGACTTTTATTGAACCAATATTACCCATTCCTATTGTTGTTTTGATTTGATTCTGATAATAATATGTTTAATTTGAAACCAATCGATTCTAAATATTTGATGATGCAGCATTTTTTTTTAGAAAATAAAAAAATAAAAAAAAAATAAAAAAAATGAATTTTTTTTTTTATTAAAACATCAACCACTTCTATGACAATAATAATTTCTTTTATATGGTTTTTAAATAATAAAAAACAATAAAAAATTATTTTATTAAAAATTTAAATAAGCTTTTAAACTAAAGATCTTTATTTTGATAATGAATAGAAAATTAACTAGGGATGGAGAATTTAATTCTATATAATAATAATAATAAATGATAAAATTGATGATGAAGGTGGACCCGGATCTGTGACAGGTATATTATTATTATTAAGTAAACCCCAATGAATAATGGGTGACTTGAAAAAACACCCCAATGATTGATAAATGACTTGAAAACCCCAATTAAAAAAGAATAAACTAAACCCCCAATGTTAGATGAACGATTTGAAAAAACCACAGCTTTTGATGAATTAAAAAAACCCACAATGTTTGACGAATTAAAAACCACAGCGTTTGAATAACTTAATAAACCCACAATGTATGATGAAAGATTTGAAAAACAACCCCAATGAATGATGAACGATTTGAAAAAACCACAGCGTTTGAATGACTTAATAAACCCACAATGTATGATGAAATAATTGAAAAACAACCCCAATGGTTAATGAATGACTCGATAACCACATTTAAAAAGAATATGTTGAACCCCCAATGTATGATGAGTGACTTGAAAACCCAATTAAAAAGAATATACTGAACCCCCAACGTATGATGAGTGACTTGAAAACCCAATTAAAAAGAATATACTGAACCCCCAACGTATGATGAATTGAAACCCCCAATTAAAAAGAATATATTGAACCCCCAATGTTTGATAAGTGACTTGGTAACCCCGATTAAAAAGAAAATACTGAACCCAAAATGTTTGATGAGTGACCTGAAAAAAACCCCAGTGTTTTATGAATTACTTGAAAACCCCAATTATAAAGAAAATACGGAACCGCGATAAAATAGAATATATGGAATCCCCAATGTATGAATAATTACTAGAAATAAATAACGTATTGTAACTGAAAAAGAAAGATTTGAATCTGAACTTAATAAGTATTAAAATTAGATATTAGTTTCTTTTATATTCAAATTTAATAATAATTATGTAAATATTAACATTATAGTTACCTTAAAATTATAAATGTAGACTTAGATAGAACGTGTGAAGCTTGAAAGAGAATGAAGTAAACTAAATATGAATTAAATATTAGTTTATATTATAATCAAATTTAATTTATGTAATTATAAACACTATAGTTACCTTAATTATATATATGCCTTATTATTGACATTAAAGATAGAACATGGTTGTACTGAAGAGAAAAAACCTGATAATGCCGAGAAAGAAAGAATTATAAATAAACTATAAGAGAAAGAATTATAAACTATATAAGAGTTAAAAATAAATATTAGTTTCTTTTATATTTAAATATAATAATTATGTAATTATAAACACTATAGTTACCTTAATAAAATAAATGCCCAGAATTGACATTATAGAAAGAACTTGATAATACTGTGAGAGAAAGAATTATAAAATATATAAGAGTTAAAATTAAATATTAGTTTCTTATATATTTAAATATAATTATTATGTAATATAAACACTATAGTTACCTGAATGCCCTATTACTGACATTAAACAAAGAACATTGTTACACTGGAGAGAAAGAACCTGATAATACCGAGAGAGAGAATTATAATTAAACTATATAAAATTAAAAATAAAATATTAGTTTCTTTATATTCAAATTTAAATTTTATAATATTTTAGTAAATATTAATATTATAGTTACAATATGAGGAGAACTTATTAATGGAACCATGAGAACTTTTAAACGCTATTTTTTAGAGTTGAAGCGATTGAATTGTTTAATACTAATAGTTTTGATAACGATGAGAATGTTGTCCAATGATGATGTTTACAGTTTAACCTTTTTTGCTTATTTAATTAACACGTTTCCATATGGATGGTATATTATTGATCTATGTCTATGTAATTATAGAATTCGTGGCCAGCTAATTCTTGACACATATTCATGAAATCTAATAATTACCATTTGAAACGGTAATGGAAATCTATTCGATATCCATTTGGTCAAACAATTCCATACCGATATTGGGATCGTTGGAATTTGTATCATCATTATTTAAAATTGGTGGACTTTGATCACATTGCTCTATATTTGATTAATTAGTTGAACCATTGAATTGTCTTCAATTAAATAATAAATTAAATTAATATATGTTTTATTTATTATATATAAAATATGAATGTATTAATTACTTACTCTTACTAAAAAGAATGGAGCTCTACAATTTGGGCAGGTGTTATCACGACGATAAGACCATTCCATAATGCAATCGTAACAATAATTGTGGTTACAATCAATTGTTGCGAGTTTGCTTGGTTCAATTTTATCCATGCAAATAGTGCATTGATGTTCGTTTTCTCTACGTTCTGCTACTTCTCTTTCCTGTTGTTCTCTTTGTTGTTGCTCCCTTTCTTGTTTTTCTCTTTCTTCTCTCTCATGTTGTTCTCTTTGCTGTTGTTCTTTTTCTCTTTCTTCTCTTTCTTCTCTTTCTTGTCTTTCTAAATTTTCTAAACGTACCCTTTCCATTACTCTTTCTAATGTTTCTTTATATACTGATTGGATACGCTCTAATTCTTCTCTTTCTTTTTGTTTTCTTTCATTTTCTTCTCTTTCTTTTTGTTTTCTTTCTTTTTCTTCTCTTTTTTTTTGTTCTCTTTCTTTTTTTTCTTTTTCTTTTTTTTCTCTTTCTACTCTTTGTTTTTCCTTAGCTTCTTTAATTTCTTTTTCTAATCTTTCTTTTTTTAATCTTTGTCTTTCCAAAGATTCTCTATATTCTCTTTCTTTTCTATCTTTTTCTAATTTTTCAATACGTTCTCTTTCCTGGGTTTCTCTTTTTAATTGTTTCATGTATTCCATTTCTTTTTGTTGTTCTCTTTTTAATATTTCCAAATTTTCTTTTCTTAATTTTTCCTTTTCTATCTTTTCTTTTTCCATTCTTTCTCCGGTGTGGTCGAATGGTGAATATGGAAATATATTTTCTGGTTGTGATGGTTCCTTTGGGGCATGTCTTAAAATTTCTTGGGTTACTGAGGAACGACCAGAATTTTCTTGACTATTATAATATTCAGAACAACAATATATGTTTTTATATGCGGAATAATGGAATGTTGAGGTACTATCATACTTGTTTTTTTCTTTTGGGGATTGATCGATTGGGGTTGAATTTGTGGTTTCGTTAATTTTGTGGTTGTTGTTGTGGGTGTCGCTATTGATATGGTTGTTGTTATTGATGTGGGTGTGGTTATTGGTTTGGGTGAAGTTATTGGTTTGAGTTTCTTGTGGGGTGGAACGGAAAATAATTTTTAAAATTATTAATGACCAAATAAAAATAGCAAATAAAATTGATTCTAACATTTTTTTAATTAATGAGTGAATATAAAAAAATGAAAGTTATTATGGAATGTGAAATATAATTGCTATTATTTAAAACTTTTTTTTTGATATTATATACTATGTGAAACTATACACAAATAAAATTTTGATTTTTTATTTAATTAAAAAAGAAATTTTTTTATTTTTTTGTGTGGGTCTGTAAAAACAAAAAAAAAAATTAAAAAAATTTTTATTACATTAACTTTATATAAAACAATGTTTATTTTATTATAATATTTTTTAAAAATTAAAAAAAAAAAAAAAAAAAATAAATAACACAATGTGGTTGAAGTTCATACTTTTATTACAATTTCTTTATTAAAAAATTAAAAAAGTATATGACACATTGCAATGACATATAAAACATGATATGTTTCAATTTTTTAAATAATAAAAAAAAAAAAAATTAATAAATAATTTATACAGATGTATCAATATACACGAAATCTGATACCAATAAGGTATCATTTTTATTTTGATCATTATTATTATTATTATCATCTTCATCTTCTTTAATATTGTTATTGTTATTTTTATTTGAGTTCCATCTCCAAAAATTCCATAAACTATTACCAGTTGAATTATTTGGGTCACTACTATTATTATTATTATTATTATTATTATTATTATTATTATTATTATTATTATTATTGTTATTATTATTATTTGATAGATGTGATGATTGTAAAATAAATGAATATAATGAATTGGATAAACCATTATTTGAGCTATTTACTAATGGATTATTACTATTGTTGTTATCTAGTTCGTTGGTATTTAATATTGATGATAATAATTTTCCTTTTTTACCAACTAAGCCACCGTGAAAGGATTGAAACTTTTTGAGTGTTAACAAAATATCTTTATTATTTTTGTTCTTTGCAATTTCGAAACAGCTTTCTTCAAAACCTTCAGATCTATTATAGCATAGGAATTTAACCATTTCATAGTCATTGTTATTTGCAGAGGCATAGATAGCATTTTTGGAGCATCCTTCATTTCTATTTTCGTGAAGAAATTTAACTACATTTAGGTAACCATGAGAAGCAGCCAAATCCATTGCGTTTTTAGTACAGGTATAACGATTGTTATGTAAGAAAACCACTGTGTCATAGTCACCAAACCTAGCTGCCAAGTCCATAGCAATGTTGCTTGCATATGATATTGTTGAGGTGTTGCTATTAACATTGCTGCAATAATTGTTATTGATATCGCTATTATTATCATTGATACAGCTTAGTTGATGTAAATATTTGACTTTTTCAATATCTCTTGATTCTACGGCTATATCTATTAGAAAAAGGGATTTTTCCATTCTTTCTCTTTGAGATTCTACCAACCGGATAAATAATGGCGAAAATGGAATTTGTTTAATAATCATTTTGAAGGATTTGTTTGAAAATTCTAAAGGTATATAGCTATATTTTGAGTGTATATCGTTCATAACCTTATCTTTGAGGAGTTCTATATGACCATTGTTTATCATTTTTTCTACTGATACAATTTCTTGATATTTTTTGAATACATAATTGAATTCTAAATATTTTTCTATACTAGATTCTTTAAAAACTTTATCCAAATTTAATTCTGGTTTTTTTTCTATAATATTTAATAATAAACTATATCCATCAACATTTTTACTTTTTAGAAAATAGAATATTTTTTTAACTAAATATATATTTCTGAAAACTGAAAAAAATAATCTATCATTTCCAATATCATTATTATTATTGTTATTAATACTACTATTATTAATATTACTATTAATACTCATTTATTTCTAGGATTTGTTTATTTTTATTTTTATTTTTAAAAAATTTAAAAAAAAAAAATAAGAAAAAAATAGAAATTTAAATTTAAAAAAATTAAAAAAAAAATATAAAAAATTAAAATTTTTTAAATTAAAAAAATAAATTAAAAATAAATGAATTGATGTGGTTTTTGACACTGATGCAAAAATATTTAAGATAAATATGAATTGATGTGGTTGTAACACTGATGCAAAAATAATTAAGAAAAATGTTTTTTTATAAAAAAAAAACTATTTATATTTTTATATTTTTGTAAACCTTAAAAAAAATACATTTAAGTATTTAACTTGATGTCAGTAAGTATATAATACATTAAAATAAATAAATATATAAATAAAAATAAAATATAATAAAATTGCGGGAATTTAGTTTTTGTCCCTTTCTCCCAGGAAGATTTTTTATTTTTTATTTTTTATTTTTTTATTATTTTTTTTAATTTTTTTTTAAAAAAAAAATAAAATTTAAAAAATTTTATTTTTCATCTCCATTGAGCAATCACAATAAATAATTATAAAATGAAAATTAATTATATTTTTATAATCGTTATAGTTATTAATTTTATTAGTTTTATAGCTGGTAATCAATTTTATGATAATCAATTTGGATCATCATGTCCATGTTCAGATCAAAGTTTGTGTAATCCCGTTTCAGTGGGACCACGTAAAGAATTTTTAGGGTTTTCTTTAGACAACCTCACATATCCATATTATGACTGGTCTATTTTAACAACTATAGCTGTATTTTATTCACCAATTGTTAATGAGTTATTATGCACTGCTCATTCGCATGATGTTCGTTTAGTTTATGGTGTATCTTATCCAATTACTCAACTTGGTAATTCAACTTTCCAAGACGAATGGATTCAAGATCAATTAAATTTAGTTCAATCAACATATACAGATGGTCTTAATTTTGATGTCGAATCACCAATTGTTAATGAAACATTATCTCAATTATATACAAATTTGGTTGCAGAAACTAATAAAGCTTTTAAAGCTGTTAATCCATTTTACCAAGTTACTGTAGATGTTGCCTGGTCCCCAAATTGTATCGATAAACGTTGTTACGACTATTTAGGTTTATCTCAAGCATCCGATTTTCTCATTATGATGGATTATGACGAAAGATCACAAGTATTTTCTGATCAATGTATTGCAAGTGCAAACTCTCCACCACAATTAGCTTTAGGTAAATAATAGACATACAATAGATAGGTATTGAAAAAATCTTTCTTTTTTATTAATCTCAAATTTCTTATTTTTAGCTGGTATAAAAAACTTCACCAATTTGGGTATTAGTGTTGATAAATTAGTTATGGGTTTACCATGGTATGGATATAACTATCCATGTATATCAAGTCCTGCTGGTTTATATTCAGAGGTATGTAATATCCCATTAGTACCATTTAGAGGTGCAAATTGTTCCGATGCAGCAGGTTCACAATTAAACTATGGTGTTATTATGAGCATGTTATCCGATCCATCAGTTGTAAGAGGTCCTTTAATGTGGGATCATACCTTACAATCCCCATACTTTAATTTTTACGATCCAACTTCAGGAAACCCACACCAAATGTGGTTTGATGATCCACAATCAATTATGGTCAAAGTTCAATTGGGTAAGAAATTACGTTTAAGAGGTGTCGCAGTTTGGAACATTGATTTCTTAAATAATGAATTTGAGTCACAATCAATGGATATGTGGAATTCAATAGGTTCATTCTTTTCATAAAATAAATAAAGAAACCCAATAAAAAATATTTTTAAAGTGTTATAATTTTTAAGTTTATCTTTTTTATTATTTATTTTATCTCTTTCAACTTGAAAGATGGACTTTCAACCTTCAAGAATGTTTATTAATATCTCTTATAATTTAAAAAGGTTTTATAAAAACTAAACTATTTGTATTTTATATTATATAAATACTATTATAATTTATTAATTTTTAAAACAACTATATAATAATGAGGTTTTTGTAATATTTCTTTTTAAAATTGGATCTAAAGAGGTTGTAATTGAGCCAACATTAAATTGGGCTGTAGTATTGTTTGAATAAAGTCTATTATTATTATTATTGTTGTTACTATTAATACTAATTATAAATGATAAATCTTTTCTTATAAGTTGTGAAAGCTTTTGAGTTTTTTCGTTATTATAGGGTTCTAAAATATTTTCAATAAATAAGACATCTAAAAGGAATTGAGCTTTACCTTCGTTTGAAATGAATAATGGATCGACTAAAGAGAAATTGTGACGGAGAGAAATCAATAAAAATTCGTAAATTCTTTGGGTTACACCAAAAGCTACATCAACACTATTAATTGTTTTCATAATTTCATTGTGAATGAAAACCATTTTAGTGAGAATAGTATGAATAAATGGACTAACTTTAGTTGGAGTAAAGTTTACTAACCAAATACTACCAGAGAATAGTACACCTCTTGTTATAAAATCGCTAATCATTAAATTCTTTTCTTGTACATAACGTTCTAGAATTAATCTTTCCAATACACCTAATTTTTCAATAACCTTCTTTAAATAACTGCCAACAGGTTGATGGAATAAACTAACATAAAAGCTACGAAGTTGTATAGCTGTTTTAGAAACAACAGTAGAACAATTTGATAATGTTAATAATAGTTTTTCTGATGGTGTAAGTTGATATGATTGTTGAGAATTTTGTTGTTGAGATGCTGATAATGATGGGGTTTGTGGAGTTTGTGGGGATTGTTGCTGTGAAATTGAAATTGGTGATAAAGGTTCATTATTATCCGATTCATTTTTACCAGTTTTTTGTTCTTCATCTAAATTCATTTGATTTAAACTATCTTCGATTGTTAATTGAATAGATTCGCTGTTAAATGCCAAATGATGTAAACAATCACCAAAGCTTTCAATGGCTTCACATAATGCTGATTCGACAGGTGACAACAACATTGGTTTGTTTGAAAGGAATGATAACTTTTCTAAATTTGATTTAACTGCATTAATAAATTCACCCATTAAACGAGTTGTGGACATACCATCAACTTGATTACCTGATGCCAATGCATCGTCGCTAGATTCGTTGACAGTCCAATCTTCTAAGAGATAGAGGAATGAAACCTCAGCAACCATCTCTGAGCAAATTTGTTTAATAAAGTGTAAAGTAAGTGTTTCTACCAAACCATTAATTGAAACTAAATATGATTCTGGCATTCCTAAATCTTGAAGCATTTCTTGGCATTTGATAACTTCGTTAACATTCTCTACCATGTGGAATGAAATATCTGATGACTGATATTGTTCATAGTTGTTTGATATAATATTGTCGAAATAGTTGTCATCGTCATTTTCATTATCTGGGAAATCATCTTCATTTGGATTAAAGAATAAATCCTCGACTTGTTGTGAATATTGCTCCAAGAGTTTGATAATTAATTTCTTAAAGTTCTCTTCGTTTGTTGCGCTAGTTGCAGCAGAGTTTTGCTTTTTATGTGATTTGTATGAATTATTAAGATCGATCTGAACAATATGACTACTTTCTTTATCGATTGCTGGATTGATTAGTGATTTTGATGTAAATTCATCGTGCTTTCTCTTGAAAAGGAATTTATGATTCTTTGAGCTTTTTTCAATCCATTTCTTTTGAAGTTTAAATGGTGATTCATCATGGGACAATTCAACCAATTTAATAGTTGTAATTTGATCAGACTTTGATTTTTTTTCGGACAATTTATATAAACAAAACTCATCGTCATCTTCTTCGATAAATCTCTTTTTGCACATTTCAATTAAATCTTTAACTCTTTTATCTTGATCTATTTTATAACTTGAAAATGACTCATCTAAATAATAAACTGTTACATTTACATTCTTTACTTCTTTAGTTTTGCCAGTGTTTAGTGTTTGTTGTTGTAAATTCTGTTGTTGTTGTAAAAATTGTTGTTGCTTCAATTTTTGATATTCTAAATTATTCTCTTCAAATTTGCCTTCAACATAATATTTTCCCATTTTAAATAAATTTGGTACATTTGATAATAATAAAATTGATAATTTTCTTATAATTTTAAAATTTGGTAAAGTATCTAAAAAAAAAAGGGAAAAGTTTTGATTAATATTTTAAATAATCTTTATATTTTTTTGGGTATTAACTTACTATCTTCAGAGCATTGTTTAAACAACATTGTAATTGCATTATATCTATTTGATAAGAAATACCAACATGGATCACCAACACTTGACCATTCTCCTTTGCCATTACCAATTTCCATTAAAGTTTTAATTGACTTTTTTAATTGATCTAGTTTAGTTGAAGGATCTCGAAGTGATGTAAATAATTGATTTCTAAAATCTTCTATAATGTTTTCGATATCGTGTAAAATCTTTTGGAACTCTTTCTTTTGACTTGATGTAATTAATGTTTTGGCATTCTTATAATTGTGTACCGCTTTTTCATATTCGTTATGCTTGATGTTCTCTGTAATTTTTCCTGGTAATTTAAAAATTACCTTATATTTATTTAATAATGTTAAAACTTTTCTAATTTCATCTGCTTTCTTTTTGTTCATTAATAATGGGTGATAAACATCTGATGATTTATTTATAATTTCTATTTATTTATAATGAAATTTTAAATTAGAATCAATAAAAATACTGTGTTGTTATTCATATGATTATTTAATATACTTACTTGTAAAAGAGGAACTCATATCTTCCAATATTTTACTTTTTGAAATTAAATCATAGACTTGATCTACTGTATCTTTACATTTTACAAAATGTTCAAAATTTTCTTTTACAAGAAATTTGATTTCTAATGCTTTGGAACTTGATGCTTCTTTTAATTTGCTCATACCAACTGCCAATTCTGAAAATTTAGTTTGTGAATGAACCTCTGATAAAAATACAACTGGACTAAATGATTCTGATTCCAATGATAAAACTTCCTCTAATATAAAATAAATTTTAGTAATCCAAATAAAATTAAAAAAATTGAAAATATTGAGTATGATATTATAAAAAATATTTACTTTTAACACCAGCAGATTTTCTTGGAGGAATTTTTAAAATACCTAATGGATCATAAAATTTATTTGAATCTTCAATTTGTGTATTTTCACTTTGTTTATTTTGATCATCTTGAGATACAAAAAATGCTGATTCATCCTCTAAAAATTCTTCCCAACCTTCTTTTACTTTTTCCCATTTTGATGGTTCTTTTTCATTTTCTTCTTCATCTAATTCATAATCTAGATTATTGTTAAATTGAATTGGCTATAAGTATTTTATATTAAAATTGAATTAAAGTTTATTTATTATTATTATTACATACCATCATAATCATCATAATCGGATGATGAATCTGAGGATGAAGACATTGCTTAATTTAATATTTACTATTCTATTTCGTTATTGATTTTATATATTATTATTATTATTACAATATACTATATTATTATATTAAATTGGTTGTTGCAAGTAATCAAAATAAATGAAAAAAATAAAATAATTTAATAAAAATTTAAAAAAAATAAAAAATTAAAAAAAAAAATCAAAAAAAAAAAAAAAAAAAAAAAAAAAAATTTGAAAAAATATATTTTATATGATTATTTTTTATAATAAATATTGTTCAGGTTTATTTATCTATAGTATTGCTTTATCCTTAAAGATAATTAATATCCTTTTTTATTTTACAAAGTAATAAATAATTTCGTTAAACAAAAATTATAAACTATTTTTTTTAAATTTAAAAAAAAAAAAAAAAAAATTTAAAATTATTTTTTTCAATTTTTTTTATTTTTTTTTTTAATTTTTGTTGTATTAATTTTTTTTAAATTAATTAATTTGTAATATAAACTAAAATAAAATATAAAATATAAAATATAAAATAAAAACTCAAAATACATATATATGGTAGAAAGATATCTTTCTCAAAATAAATAATCCCTTTAAAATAATGTCAAACGAACCAAAAAAAAGAAGAAAATCAGAAATATTTTCAGATGAAGAAGAGGAAGATGACGAATTAAATATATCAACTGCTCCAGAAGAAGATGATGAAGATGACGATTCTGATGATGTTAGTGATATTGAATTTGATAAAAAAGTAAATGGTGAAGATTTAAACATAAGCAATATTGGAACAACAAATAATGAAGATGAAGAAAGTGAAGAAATTATAATAACGAAAAAAAGAAGAAACTCAACCACTAAAAAGATAACACCAAAGAAAAAGAATAGATCAAATATACTAGATAATGAGGACGAAGAGTTCCATATTTCAAATAATAAAATTAATGTTTCAAACGATAGTTTTGAAGAAGATGACGAAGATGACGATAATGAAGATGAACAACCAAAAATTTTAAAAAGAAAACTCAATGCATCTGATATACTAAATTTTTCAGGTGATGAAATTAAACTTGAAGAAATAAATCCAACCCAACTAACCACCACTAATAAGAATGATGATGAAAATCAAGATATAGAAATTAAAAAAGAAAAATCAAATGGTTCAAAGAAATTGAATAGTAATATAAACAATAACAATAGTAACAACAATAGTAATAACAATAATAATAATAATAATAATAATAAACCAAAAGTATCTACACCACCATCATTAAATACAAGTTTAACAAAACAAACTAGAAGTAAATCAAATAATTCGCCTGTACATCAACAAGAAGAGGTTAATGAAGGTTTATATCATTGTGATTACTGTCAAAAAGATATTAGTGGGGTTGTTCGTATTAGATGTGCTATATGTCCAGATTTTGATTTATGTTTAGAGTGTTTTAGCGTGGGTGTTGAAATTACACCACATAAAAATGACCATGACTATCAAGTAATCGACAACTTACACTTTCCAATGTTTACTGATGATTGGGGCGCAGATGAGGAATTACTTCTATTGGAAGCTATCGAACTATATGGTTTAGGCAATTGGAATGAAGTTTCAGAGAATGTAGGCTCTCATTCAAAATCAGCATCAGAGTGTAAACAACATTATTTTACATACTATTTAAATACATCAACTTCACCTTTACCAAATGTTTCGAAATGTTTAACAACCAAAGAAACCCTACACCAAAAAAGAGCAAAACAAACTATAAATGGTAATTACCAATTAGATTTAGATAATTCCATAATAATAATAAATGATCAATAGTATATCATACGGATGTATATTTTAAGTTGATATACAAATAAATAAACCCTCCAAAATATAAAATTTAAAATTCTATAATTTTATTTTTTTTTCAATTTTATTAATTTTCATTTAATTTATTATAGTTGATAAAAATAAAAAATATGGTAGTAGATCACACAACAATGATGAAGGACCCAGTGGCCCAGTAACAGATTCGGTAGGCTACATGACAAATAGAAAACATTTCGAGGTCGAATATGATAACGAAGCAGAACTTGTAGTCAAGGATTTAATATTTGAAAATGACGACTCGCCATCAGATAGAGAAGTTAAATTAAAAGTATTGGAATCCTATGATCAAAGACTAGAGGAGCGTATTAGAAGAAGAAAGCTTATTGTCGAAAAGGGGTTATTAGATTACAAAAAAACAGAAAGAAAGAGATTTAAAGAAGATAAAGAGATATTAAATTCATTGAAATGTTTTTTACAGGCACTTTCAAAAGAAGAACACGAAACTTTAATCAAAGGATTCATAGATGAAAAGAATATAAAGAATAGAATAATGCAGCTACAAGAGTATCGTGAAAATGGTATCAAAACACTTACAGACGGTCAAAACTTTGATGAAGAAAAACGTAAACGTGAATTAGATAAATCATCTGGTGTTTATGGCTCTAATGTCAAAAGATCAAAGAGTGAAGGTGGTGGCGGTTTTGGTTTTGGCTTGGGCTCCACTTCTTCGTCAAGCTCATCGATAACCAACAATATGGGCTATATTGATAAATCAAGTATTAAAACTCAGAAACAAGTAACCAAAGAAAAAGAAGACCATTTCTTAGGATTAACAAGCGAAAAAAAATCTTCAACTAAGCTTAGAAAGAACGCCAAAACTGAAATGGAGGGTTTACCAAACAGCGATGCTCTTTCATTAAAAGAAAAACAAATTTGTTCCACTCATCGTCTTCTACCGCAACAGTATCTTCTTATTAAGGAGGCTTTAATTTCAGAGTCGCTTAAAAACCAAGGTAAAATTAAACAATCTGTAGCTATTAAACTAGTTAAAATTAATCAACAAAAAGTGATAAGACTTCTCGAGTTTTTTGAAAAATCGGGTTGGTTACAAATTAAAAATGATGATAAAACAAATTAAATAAAAACCTTTGTTTGTATTAAAAAAAAAAAAAAAAACAATATGTTACATTTTATTTTTTATTTAATTTTTTTCGATATTGTTTACAACATTAATTAATGTATTTTTTGGTTTCATATGGTATATTTCATTTATATTTGATGGGAAGTAATGGTGATTGTAAATATTGAGTTGTTGGATATTTGGGTAGCTATTTAATTTGATTAAATTTAGAACCTCTTTGATATCGGGTGCACGAATATCAAAAGTTATTGAATATAAATCGATTTGATTATTGTTTTGTAGAAGGTGTAAAGATTCTATTACATTCTCGACGTTTTGTGTTGAAACAAATATATTTCTGATGGTTTTATTTTTTGATAGTACACTTCTTATAATCGTTGGGAAACTGTCTCCATTTATTGAAAGTGATTTTATTGATTTATTTCCTGCCAATCCTTTGAAAATCTCTTGATCAACTTCTATATATGAATATAATTCCATTGTACTAACTCTTGAGTTATTTAATAATATTGCAGCAAAACCTTTATAAACCAAAGCTTGGTCTAATCCTTGAAAGCAAGCACACGTTCCTTTTTCACAAGTGTGATTCAAAGTTAATTTCTTTAATGTTTGATCTGTTGATAATTTGTTAACAATATAGTCCCATTGTTTTTCCAAAGTGTCATTATTGGTTGTATTTGATGCTGCTTTAACTACCAACGTTTCAAAATCAGTTTCTAAACTGAACTTTTTTAAAATACCCAGGGACACTCTTTCATTATTGTTGTTGTTGTTGTTATAATCTGAAGGATTAAACACAAGTGGGTCTATGTTGATTTTATTTCCACTATTTTCTTTAAAATGTAATTTTATTTTAAAATTTGAATAAAAAAAGATATCATAATAATTTATTTCTCCATTATAATTTATGTTTAATAATCTATATACTAAATCACTCGATACTTCTGCTATTGATATCTTTTTAATTTTACTGAAATCTCTTTTACAAATATGGATACTACTACTAGTATCACTTAGAAAACTGGTTAACTCATCTCTAAAGGCCGATAAATTAATTTCACAATCATTTGGATACATATCTAGACATTTAAAAGCTTCAAGGCCTGGTGTATGTGTTAAATCAAAAATTATTTTTCTATAGTCCCTATTATTATCTTCATTAAATTGTTGAAAACTATTAAATACTTTAACCGAATCTTTAGATTTAATCAATTTATATTTTTGGATTTGTTGATTTGTTGGTGATATTGGTGCTTCAATTAATCCAGTTAATAAATTGTAATTTTTGATTTTAATAACTGATAGTATTTTGGTTATAATTTCAAACCAATTTGAGGAAACCAAAGCATAGTTTATAACTTCATTATTATTTAGAGTAATTGGACTATATGAAAACCTATATATATATCTAATTATACATGTTAACATATATTCAAATATATAATTTGGGATTTTCATTTTCTAAAAACAACACCAATTTAATATAATAAAAAAAAAGATTTTTTATAAAAATAAAATTAATAAAAAAATATTTTTTTAAAATTTTTATTTTTTTTTTTTTTTATTTTTTTAATTTTTTGTTTTTTTTAAATTTTTCATATTATACAATCAGCAAAATCAAATATCAATTATAACAGTATATATATATAATTAATAATATATATAATTAATAGTATTACAAATGTTATCAAGATTAGTAAAAGATCACCAAACACATATTAATAAATTAAAGGAAGAAAATGGTATATAATAGCACAGCACTCACTAAATTTTACTTTTTTATAAAATAATAATAAATATTAATATAAAATATTATAATTTTAATAAAAACTATAGAAAATTTAAAAAAAGAAGCAATTTCATCAATGGGAGAGGTCACTAATGGGTTAGTTGATAGTGTTAATACAGGTGTTGCATGTATTTTTGCAAATCAAAAGAAATTAGAAACTGAATCAAGATTATTACAACAAAATACAGCTAAATTTTCAAAACAAACTAATCAATGGATTCAATTAATTGAAGGCTTTAATAATTCATTAAAAGAAATTGGTGATGTTGAAAATTGGTCAAGAAAAATTGAAAATGATATGCATAATATCTCTGATATAATCGATTTCCTTTATACAAATACAAACCCAATACCACAACAACAACAACAATCACAACAACAACAATCACCTCCATCACAACCACAATAATACTATTATAAATTAATAATAATAAAAATAAAAATATTGTATAGATAATAAAAAATTAAAATAAAAATAAAATGAAAAAAATAAAGAATATTGTATATAATTAAAAATAAAACCACTTGCTTCCTCTCTTAAATAAATTTTATCATTTTAAATAGTATTTATTATGTATTATCATTTTAAATAGTACTATTTATTTATCTATTTATTTCTTAAAAAAAAAAAAAAAAAAAAAAAATTTTTATTTTTTTTAAAAAAAACTAAAAAAACGATTTTTCATAAAATATTTTTATTTTATTAATAAAACTAATAAAAAATGAATAATAATAATAATAATAAACTATTTTATAATATAATTGATGATGAATGTGGGTTCGCAAGATTATATGGATATGTTAATAAAGAAAATCAAAAAACAGTATCACCTTATTTAATTGAAAAATATGAAAAAGAAGCAGATAAATTTTGGAATAAATTCTATAAAAAAAATAATAATAATTTCTTTAAAGATAGACATTGGTTAGTAAGAGAGTTTCCAGAATTTTTAAAGAACTCTAAAGAAGAACGTAAAGAAGAGAACACCATTAAAGTATTTGAAATTGGTTGTGGTGTAGGAAATACAACATTACCATTACTAGAGTTAAATGATAATTTATATTTTGAATCATTTGATTTCTCTGACCATGCTGTAAAACTATTAAATCAATCAGTCGAATCAAATGAAAAATATAGGGGTCGTTGTAGTGGATTCGTTTATAATGCAGTTGATGGTATTGATAAGTTACCAAAAGAAACCATAGAACAATTTGGTACTTTCGATTTAGTAGTAATTATATTTGTATTGTCTGCAATGGATCCAGCTACAATGCCTGCAGTAGTTGACATGTGTTATAAGGTATTAAAGCCTGGTGGTATGGTATTAATCAGAGACTATGCAGTGGATGATATGGCTCAATACCGTTTCGTTAGTGCTGATGAAGAAAAGATATCAAGTGTAGAAGTAGGCGACAGTGGTAGTAAAAATAAATTGGGTGATAATTTTCATGTTAGATATGATGGCACTAGAGCTTATTATTTTAGTTTACAAGTTATGGAAGATTTATATAAAGCTGGTGGTTTTAAAACTTTTCAAAATATTTATGTTGAAAAAACTGTAACAAATAGAAAACAAAATTATAAAATGGATAGAAAATTTATACAATCCAAATTTATTAAATAAAAAAAATAATTTTATATTATTTTAATATAATTTATAATTTTGTTGTTATTACTTTTTATTTTTTTATTTTTTTTTTTATATATAAATATTTAATAATTATTAAATTTAATTATCGAATGGGTTTCTATCATCAAATGGATTTGGTGAAGTTTGTTCTTGTTGTTGTTGTTGTGGTGGTTGATATTCTTGTTGGTATTGTTGGTGTTGTGATGAGAAATCTGAATGTGATGATGAATAATCAGATGGTGGTGATGAAATTTGTTCATATGATTGTTGTGGTGGTGGTGGTGAAACGATTTGTTCATCTAAAGATAATTTTGAAAGGTTAACTGGATTATGGGTTGTTTGGAAACCTTCAGTAGTTGGTGATTGAGAGTTGAATAGTTTTGCCTCGGCGTTAATCCACATTTTAATACATTCATCAACTAAAAGTTGTTGTTCAGCAACAAATGATTTCATTAAAAGGGCAACTTCTTTTTGAACATATTGAACCATATCTTGGGTGGCTACACAAAGATTAGCAGAGATTTGATCGTAATGAGCTTTAGTGTTTTCATATTCTGTTGTCCTTTCAGCAAGTTTGGTACCTGTTTGATTAGACTTTTGTGCGGATTTCAAATGATGATTAGCAGAGTTATATTTGAGTCTAACTTCATCTTGTTGTTTACATAAATCTGCAACTTTTTTAACATGTTCCTTGTAGAGAGTTTCAATTTGAATTGCAAATCTATCACTAAATTGTTGAGTATATTGTTGGAAATAAATTGATGATGATTTAATACCCTCTCCAACTTCTCTTAATGAATCTGAAAGTGGTAATGTTTGATTTATAATGAAATTGGTATGGGAAATTTTTTCACTGAATCTTGCTAAAATTTGTGAAAATGCTGTACCTTGTTGAACTTGTTTATCTTTATATATAATGGTAGTAAAAAAAAAAAAATATATATTAATATTAATAATAAATTTTTTTTTCTTTTCATCTATTTAATATTTACCTGAAGATAAATAATAACCTCTAGCTAATTGAATTAATAATTTAATACTCCATTTCATATTTTTTAATTGAGCTTTGGCATTTTCTACATGATCTGGTTCTTTCTCCATTTCCATGGTAGCTTCTTGAACAGCACTCTTGGTTTTATTTACTAAATTCTTAAACATTTTTTACTAATACTAATATATAGATATATATTTTTTTGTCGCAAAATAAATAAAAATGAAATATTGTTTTTAATATAAAAAAAAAATAAAAAATAAAAAAAAAGTGTGTTGGTGAAATTTTTTTTTTTATTTTTTTTTTATTTTCAAATAATTTTTTTTTGAATTATTTTTTTTTAAATTAAATTTTTATTTAATATGGTATCGATTTCTATCATTATTATTTGAAAATTTATTGCCACCTAGGGCTTATATAACCGGTTATATATTGTTTATAATAAAATTTTAAAATTTTTTTAAAATAACTAATCATCTTAAAATCATATTTTTTAAAATTAAAATTAAGGCAATAGTTAATTTATTTTATTTTTTATTATTTTAATTATAATTTTTTCCATTTTATTTCAATTTTTTCATTTTTTTTTTGATTTTTTTATATTATAAAAAATAATAATAATGGATACTCCAAATAATGAAATACTATTTTGGAGAATCTTTAGAAATATATATTTATTCAATACCATTTTTTCAAATTTCAAATTAAAAAAAAAAAAAAATTATGATAGATTGTATGATCCCAATTACATATACGAACATTTCAAAAATAGTAAAAAGATTATTAAAGATAAAGTGAAAAGTTCAAAAATTTTATTTGTTTTTGACCAGTTAGGTTTTTCTCCAAACAGTTTTGAAATAGTTGCAAAAATAATCAGAAAAGATAATCAAAAGAATATAGATTTTTATAAAAAATTATTTTTAGTATATTCAAAATCAATACCACCCAATTCGCAACCTAAAGAAACTATAATTTCAATCATTTTTCAAAATTCAAACATTCCACTATTAAAAGCATACCTCCCAAATGGTTCTCCTCTACTCTATCAAAATTTATTAATTTACGATTATAAAAGTTTAAAAATTGTTCAATATATATTATCAGAAGAATTTTTAAATAGTAATAATAATAATAATAGAAGAATAAAAGAAAATATTAAAACTCAAGACATTAATCTTTATCAAGATTCATTCAAACTAAAACATTTGCTCAAGATCGTTTCTTATTTATGTGAAGTCTATAGAGAAGAACCTATCATCCAAGAATCCCAATTTTATAAAGCTATTTCAATATCAACATATCAATTTACCAATGGTCAATTAAAATCTAGTATTAATAAGCTATTATCACCAACAACCAGTTTAATAATAAATAACAATCACAATCTTAATGAAATAAAAAACATCATTTTCAACTATATTCAGTTGTTTTATTTATTCAATACAGACAGTTTACAATCATTTAATTATTTTTTATTATTCAAAGGAATAGATGAAATTCAAAAGGAACTTCAAAGAGATAGAGAGGGTTTATTTGAAAAATATAAAAATATTTTAGAGATGTTAAAAAGCACTAGTAGCCCTGACCCCAAGTTTTTTTCTGATTACATCAATCGGATCTTTGATTCATTATATATTTTTAAAAAAGAAGAATGTTCAAGACAAATCTTTAAAAGTGGTAATATGTATATTATCGAAGCACATATAAAAGCAAAATCTTTTAACTGTGGCCCACTTCTTTTAAGTTCCATAGCATCAACTCAGGTTCTAGATTATTTTTTTATCAACTACCAAGATATTTTTTTCGCGGACAATAACTATAATTGGATGTGGATTAGCTCAGTAGAGGTTCTGGAACATTATGAAAAGTTAATGGAAAAGCTTTCAAGAAAATTCAAGCTTGGCAAACTTACAGAATATTATAGAGATGTTGCAGATACTTTTACTTTAGAGAATCTTTTAAGGGCCATTAATAACAAAAAATATTATAATATTGCCCCCGATTTTTCACTACAATCATTCCAAAATTTAGTCAAAAAAGCAATTAAAGAAAACAAACAGGATCTAATTATCTCATTGATATCCTCATTTGAGTTTAAAAAAGTGGAGGCTTATTCACTAATCACAAATAACGATGTTTATAATGAAAAGATAATGGCTTGGATATTTTCAAACTCTAGTTCAATACAATACCATGGCCCTGGCCGTATGGTTATTACTTTCAAATCCTATGACAAAAAAGAATTCAAAATTCAAGGTGACCTTTTTTTCTGGTTTTTGGCATGTAATACCATCGGAGAATATAAAGAAATATTCAGATTAAATCAACTCTTCCCAAGTAATACTCATCTCGATCAATATTTTCAATCTGTTTCAAATTACACACCAGAGTTAATAGACCTAATATTAAACTATTATAAAGAAAACAAACTAAATTTTTTCACAGATCCAAATATCACTATTCCTGGTGGTGAAGATGAAGTTGAATATGTCTCTTATAGCAGTTTTAGTTTTGACTTTTTATTCGATGAAGCAATTACCCCAAAAAAAGATCTTCCCCTATTAAAGCATCTAATTAACAATCATAGCTATTTATTTACTGATGGTGAAGGTGCCCAAGAGCAACTTAACAATATAAATCCTAATAATGTCAATGTAAGAGAAAAGTTAAAAAAGAAATTTTTAAATATGGTTACTTGGAATAGATTCGAAACTTCACAATTATTATTTCAATATCTAGATATAACCGAAGATGATTTAAATCAAATAAAAAACACATCTTATAGACCTCAGTGCTGGTTAAAAGATTATTATATAACAAATAAAAAATAAAATTAAACTAAATTAAATTAAATATAATATTATTATATATTTTTTAAATAATAATAATATAAAGTAATTGTTTTTATTTAAATGTATAATTGGGCGAGTACCAATCAGACTCTTTTGATTTTTTACCATTATAAAAATGATCTTTATCATATAAATCGTTATAATCTTTTTTTGTAAAATCTTCTATATTATTATTATTATAATTATTGTTATTATTATTGTTATAATCTCTGTCTGAATCTGAATCTATATAACTACTTGCACTACTACCACCATAATTATTTTTAATATTTTTATTGTAATATTGTTTAGAACTGCTGTTATTATTATTATTACTGGATCTTTCTCTTGATTTAGATCTATCTTTTGATCTGGTATTGCGAGCACGATCCCTTGATCTCGATCTTGATCTTGATCTTGAACGATCTCTATATGATGATTCTAATGTTCCACGATCTCTTGAACGGTCTCTAGGGTTATCAAAGCCACCCACTATACCATTGTGACCTCTATGTTTTGATGTTCTTGAATCTTTTTCATAAGAACCACTATTTCTTGATGAACCTTCATATAAATCCCAATCATAGTATGGATGATCTCCTCTATGTAATTCTGGTGTGCCATAGTTGTAAGGTGGTGGAGGATAAGAGGAATGGTGATGTGGCGGTGGTGGTGGGGGATAATGGTGACCTCTGTGATATGGCGGTGGAGGAGGTGGATAAAAATGATGTGGAGGATATTGAAAATGATTATATCTTGAATGATGATATGGATATACTCCATTCGAACCGCTATTATTACTATTATTACTACTATTACTAAGCTTTCTCGAATGATTATTGCTATTGCCATTATTGTTATTATTATTATTACTACTACTATTGTTATTATTATTCGAAGAAGTTGATGATGATGCAGATAATGATCTTTTTTTATTTGCAAATTCTTCTGGGTGACAACCTTTACATTTGCATATTCTACAACCACCATCAGGTAAAACACCTAGTCTAACACTGGAGGGCACTTGACAAAGACAAGCCTTATCATTCTCAGAGAAGGCCTTCATGCACGCCCTACAGCAACCATTCTTTAACTCATCACTGCTAATCGATCCATTATTAATTGCATTATTGGTTGGTTTATTTGTTATTATTACACTAGATGATGATTTAGTTTCAAAAGCATCGGTAGGATGGCAGCCAAGACAACCACATGTTATGCACCCATTTTCACCCAAAACGCCTCTTCTATGGTGTGATGGAACTTGACATAAACATGCTCTACCATTGGTTCTATTCTCTTTTGAACAATTATTACAACATTGGGTTTTATGTGGATTACTATTATTACTATTGGTATTATTTGTTTGAAAAGTTAATGCTGTTGTATTTGTTTGTGATGAAAAGTTTGATTCTGGTGAGTGATCCCTTGTTCTATCCGGTTTTCGTTGTGTATTGCTAGATTTTTTGATATATTCTTGATCACTTGAATAAGAGCTTTCATCGCTACTAACTGGATTTCTTTTACTATTACTTTGCTTTGATCTTCTTTTTTCACTTTCACTACCACTATTGCTATTTTCATTATTACTATTATTATTTCTTTTCTTCAATTTCTTTTTTCTTTTTTTCTTTCTTTCTTCTTTTTCACTATCATCGTCGCTGCTAGTTTCATCACTTTCACTTTCACTTTCACTGCTTAAACCAACTTTATTTTTATTTTTACTGCTTTTTTTTTTATTGAAATTATTATTACTATTACATTGGCACATATCACAACAACCTCCCTTTTTTCTTCTCTTTTCTGATCGCTTGGTGGTTGATAATTCTTGATCCGATATTTCTTTTTTTTCTTCTTTATTTTCATTATTATCTTTTAAATTGTTTTTAATAGATATTGAAGCACCATTTTCATCTTCCGATGATGACATTGGAACACAACAATAACAACCTCCTCCATTTGAGGATGGTGTATTTGTTCCCTCTTCTTTTTTATTATTTTCCATTTTTACTAAGAAAAATTATTTATATTTATTTATTATTATTATTTATAATTAAAAATTGTTGAAAGTATTGTTTTTGTTATTATTATAACAATGATTAAATTTGTATTGGTAAATGAGTGTTTATTGATATAAAAAAAAAAAAAAAAAAAAAAAAAAAAAATATTTGATAAAAACAATAAACAACACTCTATGCAAAGAGACAAATAATAATAAAAATAAAATAAAATAGTAAATAGTTTAAAAGAAAAAAATATAAAATAAAAAATAAAAATTTTTAAAAAATAAAAACAAAAAAAAAAATTAAAAAAAAAAAAAAAAAATAACAAAAAAAAAAAAAATAATAAATTTCAACAAAATTATTTTATAAGTCGTTAAAAGAGGTTGACCTTGTTTTAAACTAATTGGGATTTATTATTATTATTATTATAATTTAGTATAGCATACAAATACAATGAAAGTATAAATAACAATTTAAGATTTTTATTTTTTTATTATATTAATTTCCAAATCACACACAATGAAAGGATATTCATTGCCGCAAATAATTAAAAAAAATAAAAAAAAAAATTTATAAATTTATAAATTTTTTTTTTTTTTTTTAAATTTTTAAAAATTTCTTTTTTATTTAATTTATAAATTATCTCTATCTATAGATAATATGAATAATAATAATAGTAATTTAAATGATAGAAGTAATTTAAATAATAATAATAATAATAATAACAATATTAATAGTTTTAATAATTTAAATAAAATTCCAACCTTAGTGAAAAAAATTACAACAAAGAATTTTGATAAAGAGATTATTAGTTTTGAAAATGATTTAAAGAATGCTTTATTTATATCTGTGGATACAGAGTTTACAGGGCTGGGTTATCAAAAATCTTTAAAGTTAGAGTATGTTTAACTTATAAATTATAGCTTTACGTATTCATTATATCTAATATTGTTTTTATTTTATTTCCCAAGCGATATACAGGATAAATATCAAGCTATGGCAGCTTTAGTCAAACAAAGATCAATTTTGGAATTTGGAATATCAATAATATCATCAACAACACCAAATAATGATTTATTAAATCCTAAAATAGATAATAATAATAATATCGATAGCAAATCAAATAGTAATAATAATTATAACAATGATAAAGCTAGCAGCGATTTAGGTGAGATTATAGAAAATACAGAAGTTGATGAAACCATCACAGATACAACTAGTGACAGTTTAGAAAGAAACTATACATTAAGAGTATATAATTTTATAATGTTAAATTTAAGTGACTTTCAAGTATCCCCTCAAAGTATGACATTTTTATCTAAACATGGTTTTAATTTCCAAGAGCTATTCGAATATGGTATACCATTTCAATCTAGAAGACCAACTTTTACACAACATCAACATCAAAATAAAAATAATAACAACAACACAATAAATACTCACATAAATACACAAGAGGAGCTTTTAAGCAGATCTAAATTGCTTTTAAGTATAATCGCAAAATATCAATTACCAGTAATTATTCATAATGGTATTTTTGACCTTTTATTTATTTTTCAAAGTTTAATTGCAGATCTACCAGATAAATTAAATGATTTTATAGTTAAATTGGTAACTGTTTTTCCAAAAATGTATTTATAAAATAATTTATCACAATAAAAATAATAACAATTAATAATAAAATAGTTTAATTAATATTATTAATATGTTGTAACTAACTAATTTTTTATTTTTATTTTAGATATGACACAAAATATATTGCAGAATATAAAATTAATGAAAAAAGAACATACTTACAATATTTATTTCAAAAATACGAAAGATTCAATTATCAAAGAAAAACTAAAAAGGAAATATATTTATCATTAGAATTTTTAACCTTTGATAATGAAGAGGACGATAAAGAAAATAAAAACCAACCATTAATAAATATAGACTATTCATTTTCTAAAACAGTTCCTCCAGGTGTTAAAATATGTAATGATTTTGCAGTAAGTATAGATGCGCATGTATATTAAAATTAAATTTGTTTATTAATTTTTTATTTTATTTAGGATTTTGGTTATTGTAGATTAAAAGATAAATGTCAAGATTCACACGATATTTCACAAATTCTAGATAGCGAGGAGGCAAAGAGACAAAAAAAGAAAAGAGGAAGAAAAACATTTGAAGATGACAACAGTAATTTGGATGGAGAAAATGAAATTGGCGAAGTTATAAAATCAATTGTAAATAATAATAATAATAATAATGATAATAGCGAAGAAAATAATTGTAATTTTAAATATAAAGAAATTTTTAAAATGGAAGGTCAAAATATTCACTCTGCAGGGTTTGATTCGGCTATGACCGGTTTTATTTTTACATATTTTTTACTTTTGTTTAAAAAATCAAATCTTTTAAATGAAGTAGAAAATAAAGTTTATTTATCAGGCAAACAGGTCCCATTATTTTTAAAACCTTCAAAATATTCAGATAAATATTAATAATAATAATAATAATAATAATAATAATAATAATAATAATAATAATAATAATAATAATAGTTTTATTAATAAAACAATTGTAATAATTATTTTAATAAAAAATAATAATTATGAATTGTTTTCTTTTTTAAATGTAATTATTATTTTATCTTCTTCTATTTTGTCTTCATTTATTGTTTTCTTTCTATCTTCTTTTATTATCTTCTCTATATAAATACTATTCCATTCGGTACCGAATTTGGATTGTTTTAATTACTGGAGATTCTGCAATATAAAAAAATTTTAAAAAAAAAAAAATAAAAAAAAAAAAAAAAAAAATTTGTAAAAACTTTTACCAAATCTAGAAAATATTCGAATTTTATGGGGGGTGGGGTATTGAATAATAATAATAATTTTTTTTTGTTTTTATTTTTAAGTTTTTAGTAATCAATTAATATATATTTTTTTTCTTTATCAATAATTATTAGTATGATGTTAAAACTTTTTAATATTATTGTTTAGTATATTATTATAATTTATATTTATTTAAAAAAAAAATGATGAGCCTCAGTGGCTTAGTTTTTTTTTTTTTTTC